ATTCCACTTCAACATGTCTTCCCCATCACTCCTCCAAGTTAAGTGAATGAGGGAGGGACAAACCACCACCACCAGTTGAGCCTTTCTTACTAACCACTGGACATGACAGCAGAGTGGTTGATGCAATCATCACCGTCACAGATTTCCAAGTCAGCATGTCGATACGTGTGCAGCACTGTCAAATGCATGCAAGCCTTCACACCTCAACAGGACGCAACATGGACGTGAGACATTCTACCACCGCTACATGCAAGAATGCTTGCTTGAGTCACATAAAAGCGTATCAACCTACTTGTAAGGCTGTGGAGGCAGAAATTCTTGCCACGTGTTTGGCCGAGACTTGGCTGGGTCAGATGTCATCGACCAAGAGTGGTCCACTTTATTACTAATTAAGGCCAACTTTGGCACAAGTATTCGCATTTCCTTGAGCACTGTAGAGTTGAACCATTAACGTGAGTGGTGGAGTGAGAAGTGGGATATGACGACAAGTGGGGATAAAAGCTCTAACACGAGAGTCTCTCGGCATCAGTAGGTGCCAATTGGCTTGAAATCAACGGAGTAATTGTGTCGACTTGTGATAGGAAGGCGAGGGAATGGGGAGGAAGAGCAGCCCTTTGCATCCTCCTCCACTTATCAGCATCGGACTGGCAGTGACACCTAACAACGGACAAAAATGCAGACAATCAAACGAAGTAGAAGAAGATGGTGATGAAAAGGAAGGAGAGAAAGAGGACTTCCGCAGGGAACAACGACTAGTCATGTCTGAGGAATGGATTTGGGAGGATCATTCGGACTTCTTTCCAACCCCAAATCATGAGTTGTTACACCTTTCAAGTTGATGTGAAGGAGAGATGTCACTGATTTAGGCGCATGTCAAACTACTTCCTTGCCTCCTCGACCTCTCGCTCAATCACTCTGTTGACCCACTCCAACCTCTTTGCTGCCTGCAAGACGCGTTAACAATATTTGCATGGTGGACGTTGGGCGTTTCTACCCTTTTGTCACCCTTTTACCTCGTTGATTTGGCCACGCAATCACTTCAGTCTTCAACAGTGAGGACGCGATCCACAGGCCATCTCAATGCACGACAGGACTTCCTTCGCAACTGAAGAACAGCATTTTTGAGTGTGAACTCACCTCAATCGCCTTCTTCGAGTGACTTTCCAAACAAGCACAACTCCGCATTGTCTTTCGTCTCACTGTCCTCATGACTGCCTTTTCCATGCTGCGTTGCAGTCTGCCATCTCTCGAAGGCGCTCCACCAAACAGGCACCATTGTCTGCTCCAAAACAGAGTCTCTAGCCTTCCCACCACACGAGCAACTACCCACGGCTCGACTACCATCCGTCTTCTGATCTCAGGAGAACAGTCCACTCCACGCAAGTCAATGCCAAAGTAGACATCTCAACCAGAGCACCAACGTGTTGTTCTCCGCTGTGATGAGATGCATTTGCCGCACCTTCCCTTAAACTGTCCTCGGCAATGTGGAGGACTGACACGAGGACAAAAGTGCGCCTTTACTTGTGGGTAGGAGGTAAATATTTAATGCAAGATCAGACTCAAGTTGGAAACCGACGTTGGCACGAATGCATTACCACAGTCACAAACGCACGCTCTTTTTCGTGGGACACACCACAGGACATTCTCCGGCACGACGTTGAGGAGAAGAGACATGCCAATCAAATCGCCTCAACCATATCTTTTCTCTTCCACTCATTGTAGCATTGCAGCATCGCCAAGGAACTGCGAGTCACCCACCATGACGACTTGGACTGTTGCAAAGTGAATTCAGCGTGGATTACAATGAACTGACTTCGCATTCCGCTACACGGTCTAATCTGCACATTTTAGACGGTCAGTGCGCATGCCATTGTTCGGCGTTCCATCTTCCAAAGTCCTGTTTCATCGCTCCGTGGTCATGAGACGTGGGACAGACTTTGCAACATCTGCCCAGTCATTGACAGTGGTTGGAGAAAGACTTCCATCTAGAAAACTGCTGAAATCGGTTTCTTTTGGCAGAAAAGCAGGTGCCTCGCTGCATACCAACTTGAGGTGTGCTGCCACAAGAGGACTAGCAGATTAGTTGATGTGGGAGGGGCAAGGAGGAGGCAATCCATCACCTGTGTATAGTTAGCATGTCTTGCCTTTGGACTGGTAATTCCTCAACCACATGCTTGCCTTTTCCCCTGACACTTTCACAGCAACAAATGCCACTTTGCTCTGGGCATTGCACTTCATTTGCACGCTTTTCGTTGAGCCCAGCCCGTTACGACAGTATCCATGTGCTATTCGCTTCCTCGCACGTCCCATGTCGAGGAAGTGTGAGAGGCATCGTGCGGAAATTGTGGGAATGAGGAGAGGCAGTGTCACCCATCCACCCACTCACTCACGCTCTGTCACATGTGCCGTCTTTTTTAATTCCCCAAACGATTGTTTGATGAGGCGACTGATGCCAAGACGATGAAAGGCGATTTCTTGTTGGTGCGTTGTGTGGGAGCTGAGGCATGGACACGTGGAAAAATAGGAGGAGTAGGAGGAGGAGGAAGGCAGTGCATCTTCTCACATTATGGGCTGTCTTCTCATGCTAATTCTGTGACACATGGTGGTGATGCTGATGAATGTGACAGTGGTTGTGATGCGTCCTCGTCGTTGTGGCGTTGGAGGAGGAGTTGGAACAACTTTGGGCAAACAATGAACAGGCAACTCCACGTAGACGTTTGCTTACGAAGGAGGAGAGGAAAGTACACATTGCAAGTTTATGCATTGGGATGGAAGACTAAGTGATGGAAAGGGAGGCAATGAAGTTGTTGAGCCTCGATTTGGAAACAGAAGAGGTGATATGTGTGCTTCTGGCTAAGCAGGACTTTTGACTGCTTCGGTGTGGTGGACAAGCGTCTACATAGGGCGTTTTCTCTCTCGTCCACATTTAGTCAGCAAAGGCTGACTAGTCCAGTGGTGCAGGTTAACACATGTGTCCGAGCGAAGTGCATATGGGATAAAGGGTGGTAGGGAGTCCAGCTGCGTAGCTAGCCAAAATGGGTGTTTAGAAGCTGAAAGCAGGAAAACAGGAAGGAAGGAATGAAGGAAGGAAAGAAGGAAGGAAGGAATGGAGGTGGAAAGGAGGGAGGGTTGGAAGGAAGGAAGGAGGGAAGGAAGAAAGGAATGAAGGGAGGAGATGATTGTTGTTCGTAGCTGATTGTGATCGTCACAACACACACCATCGCGTCCGACCAGACGACCACAGTGATTGTAAATGAGCAAGTCTTTCCACACCAATTTCTACACCCTGTCGGGATCGGTGACGGAGGTACTAGCTCTCGTGACCTACCAAACCGTCCTCCTTAGCGCATCTTTTATTTCAGGGGAGGCAGGGAAGAGGATGAAGTATGCAAAATACGTGTATTTGAGTGGCATTGAGCAAGGACCTGTGAGTGTGTGTGTGTGTGTGGGTGG